AAAAAAAACAAATAGAAATCCTCCGAATCAAGGAATCAGTAAATCAAATTATAAATTCAATAGGAAGTGTCACCAACAGACTAGACCAATTGGAAGACAAAACCTCAGACAATGAAGACAAAATATATAATCTTGAAATCACCGTGCACTCTTGCTTCCACAACCCAACTAATAAGTGAGACAACTCCTTGTTCCCCAAAAATTGTGCTTCCAGGGTCCCACTTCGAACTCATTGCCTAAATCTCCAAACTGTCAATAAGTTTGAATTATTAACTCACTATTTTGATGGAGAGAAGAAAAAGAACACCTGGACTTGCAAGGCCAGGGCCCACTGATTGAAGCCATATACACAAGAAAGTAGGTGAGGTCAGACTTATGGTCTCGTGAGCCCAGTGTGGTCCCTTAGACTCAGAAGGATAAAAAAGAAACTGAGGCCTAATGATGTGCAAGATTGACATCAAACCTACTAAATCCAGTGGGAATGTGATAGTAGAAGCAAATGTGACTCCATTTTGTCTGCAGAGAAGGTGGTAAGAAACCATGAATAGAACATCTAAGAATTATGGGATAACATGAAACTACTGATCTCCTCTATATCATTATGATATCTGACCTTCCCTTCCTACTTTCCTATATTTTGCTCTAGCTTCTACATATTGAACATTTTACCCTTGATTTTCTGAGACTGGCACATTTCACTTAACATCATGTTCTCTATTTCTATCCAATTACTAACAAATTCCATAATGTCATTCTTTATGGCCAAGTAAACATCCATTGTGTATATATACCACAATTTCTTAGTCCATTCATCTATTGATGAGCATCTGAGTTGTGAATTGTTCTGCAATAAACACTGAAGTAGCTGTCTCGCTATAATATGCTGATTTTAGTTCTTTTGAATAAATATCAAGGGGTGGGAGAGCTGCATATAACATCTCAACTTACAAATACTGAAGGCCAAATGAAATAAAAAGTCTGAATTGTACCTTGGTTGCACACCACCACAGAAGTTACCATTTTAAAATGCATTGATCTAATTGCATAATATGTGGTAGGATATATTCTGAAGAAAAAAACAACTTTACATTTTTTCAATATTATTACTGAAGTAACCAATGGTATGGTTATTCTAAAAATTCTGCATGTATGTCATGTAAAAAAGTAAATATTATGTTCCTATCAATAGGGATTAAGATTTTGGTTTGAAAGGAAACAAATACAGAAAACTGAGGAAATTAAGTAAAAATCTGTTGTACCTTAATTTTAAGTGAAAACATCAATATAAACACAATATTCATTTATCTTACATATGTGTATTTCTAAACTCTGTTCACTGAAAAGATCTTATGAAAACTTACCAATCCACAATTAACAGGTAGGCTTAGTGTCCAACTGTGGTTTCTAAATGCCGTTTTCTACTGAAAGGAAGTAGGGCTTTTTGAAGAAATTGCTGAGTCCAAGTCTGGGGCAACAAATGCACAAGACAAGGCAGAAAAATTCTGGCATAAAGAAAAGAAAGTGCTTGAAGACTATGTGACTCATGCTCAAGACAGAGGTGTCGATCTGATGAGGTTGCCACAGAATACCACTTTTCATTCACATGGTACCAGGAAGTCATAGCCAATACAAACAAGCAGGAAATGCAAGTCAGAAGGAAGAGACTGGGGCAGAAGAAACAGACCTATCATTATTCACAAATGACTGAAAGGCTCTACAACTACCAGTATTGATTTAGTAATGTCACTGGCTACAAATAAATATAAAAAAATAAATTGCATGTCAATATATTAGCAGTGTCTGGAAAGAATACCAAGTGATATTACTCAAAATAGCATCAGAGACATCAATTCTGAGACAAATATTTGAACATGTATATAATCAAAGGAAAGGCAATTTGATTACCAATGTGCATACTAATTGTAATGAATTGAATAAAAGTATGTTTAAAATCATGGATGCATACTACAAAAAAAATCTTCTGATAGACCCAACCTGATCTTTTCTTAAAATTGGGAGCCATCTCGCCACAAAGCCATGAAAAGACAATTTCAGCTTTATGATAAATTACTGCAAATTCTGAACCTGCTTGGAATGTCTGCCCGTGCCTTGAATTCACCCATGCCTGGCTCTCTGACCACATTAGCAGCCCTCTCTGAAACTTTAGTGATGCCTCACAAATTTTGGCCTTCCCTGACCAGACACCGACCCTCTCTGAGGCTCTAATGACCTTCATAAATTCAGATGTCGGGGCCAGCAAAAATGTAAACTACGATTAGTGTCATGCTCATCGGAGTTGTGTTATCTGTAACCCACTTTGTGTAACTTTCTGGGCTATAAAGCTGGTTCCCGAAGTTTGGGGTGGGAGAGGCAGCCCAGCCGGTTGAAATAATAAGCTTGCTTTAATTTGATTTTAATTGGAGTCAGTGGTCTTTTCTTGCGTCTTGGCCTAACACTTCATGTGTCAGCATCAAAGGATGACAGGAAACTTTTTAAAAAAATGTAAAGAGGAAAACAACCAAGCTTTTTCTGTACCAACTACACCCCAGATAAACAATCTATAAAGCTATTTTAATAGAAACACTGCAAGTAATCAGAGAATCTGAGTATTATTTGCCACCCCTAATAAGACAATGGTGAAGATCATCAATGGCTGCTAATCTCACAAAGAGACCACCCAGACAGGGTGTCTTCTGCTGAGAGTTCACAATAACTCTCTAAAGTATACTTGATAAAAATCTAAATTTGAAAGCCTGTAGATTCAATACTACTTCAGTATATAGAATAGGGGAATCTGTAGAATGACATAAGATGCAAGATATAAGAAGCAAAACTGAGATTGTGGAGAATTCTACGAAGGACTGAGGGAATTTTTTCTTTTTGGTCATAATTAAAAGAAATGTAGAGAATACTTAACAAATTCCACTGTAAAAATATATTTATCCCGATGCAATCTATGTATCATTTATAATAGGATTCCCACTAATCTTAAAGTGTGTTAACTGAATGTGGTCATACATCCTTGTGTATGTGTGCTTGTAGAGAGAGTCCTTATGTTTTACGTGTATCAAAGTGCTTTTCAGATGAAATGATGCCCGACATCTGCTCTTCCCATACTCGAGCCTGGGAAATATATGCCATGTTTTTAATAGTGGTTGAAGCTTGGTAGTGGGCATGTGGACTCATTTGCTTTTCTCTATTTTTCTATGCCCCAAAATTTCTATCTTAAGAAAATGCTATTTTGACACTTCGTTTCCCTATATAAAACCCTTGAAAGGCTCCCTTCTACCAAAGAGCTAGATTTAACTCTCAATTTTTCTACATTCTAGCCCTGAACACTAACATTTCCTTTATAATCTCTCAAATTTTAGCCTACCAAATTTTACTCATTCTTCAATGTTTGTCTTGTAACTTTAGAGCCATAAGAGAGTCGATCCAACTATATTATGCCTTTTGAGCACTTTTAAAGTTTTACTCTGCATTTAGAAGTTGTTCAAAAGCCCAAAAATGTGAAGAGTCAAGAGAAGGTCAGAGATCTTTTATTTTCAAAGGCAAATTTTCTATCAAGAAATGGAAATAAAGGCTAGAAATCTGCCATGAAAGCAAAGAGCCTAGTAAAGAGATTAAAAAATATTAAACAAGGAAAGACCAGGTGGACAAAGAGGCAATAAATATCAGATAATTGACTGAAATTAAATGTATTAATATATTTATGTTAATCCATATGAGATTGCCCATAGTTTATCCTCTTTGACTCACAAAAAAAAAAAATGACAACTTCGGGGCTGGGTTGTGGCTCAGTGGTAGAGCATATGCCTAGCACATGAGGCCCTGGGTTCAAACAGCTTTATTTTATTCAAGTCAATGAATAAAATAAAGCTATTATTTAAAAACTATTTTTTTTAAAAAATGACAACTATACATGGTCCAACCTATTAAGCATAGAGTCTAGCTCACTGAAAGACAGAAATTCTTTCCCAAACAACTTCACTCCTCATTAACTAAACCCTACCATTCTCTTAGAATAGACAATGAAAGAACCTACGTTGTAAGAAACTGCAATAGATTATAAGTTGGGTGGGAGACCACAAATTTAGTAAAGATAGATGCTAAGGGGAGAAAACTGAGAACCAGTAATGTTTAAAGTATCTCTGAAAAGTAAGGAATAGGATAAAGCAGCTAAGGTGTTGGACAAACTCAATTTCACTAAAAACACATATGCTAAATTTTCCCTTTTCATCTAATTGCTGTATAAACAAATACAGATATAAAGCTATCTTTTATATTTACTTTTAAATTAGAAATCCCACTAATTATAAAGGATTAATCATATTTAGTATAAATAGATCCTACAGGATACTTGAAAATAGACAATGTTAAAGGATATATGAAAATTCTCTATTAATCATAACTCACCAAACTACTTCCTAACTTGGTTAACATTTTCTCCATTTCTATGTGCAGTCTGCATTTATGAACTCCTTTGATCTGAGAGATGTTTTAGTCATGGATTTTTGTTATCATCTAGCATCGTCATGTTTTAGACATGGATTTTTGTTATCATCTAGCATATGACTAGCAAATATTAGGCACTCAAATACCTGTTGAATTTATCAATAAATGACTAATAACTATTTTTATTCTTGGCTTCTGTTTTTAATTAAAAATAAAACAAAACCACCAAACTTGAGCGAGACACCAGGACACAATGTTGACTACTATAGCTGTATAAAGAGATTCAAAGAAAATCTTAAGATGACGAATTCTCTTTTAAACTACGAAAAAAGTAATAGCTTCATGTTTGTAAAAAACAAATGTAAAATGTCTATTATGTCCTATCAGGTAATTCTTAAAAAAAAGAAAAGAAAAATCCCTAATGGTTCAATGCAAGTTGACATGAATATGTACAAATTTTAGTAATAGCTGGATGTTGCTGTTCCAAGATTCTGATTTTGAAAGTTGAAAACCTCTATTTAAAAAACAGTTTTGCCAGTCAAACACACCAAAAAATAAAAGGTTTTTAATATGCCAGTGGCCATGCAATTCACACACTGAACTGTTCTACACAGGGGGGCTTCACGATCCAGGAGCCATAGCCGTGCTGCTGCAAGTAGGACTTCAGTAAAGCTTTAGCCTCTTGGTATGAGCCAGACAGACGCTAGAGAGAGAGAGAGAAAGATCAAGTTATTCTAAACCAGCAGATGTGACCTATGAAAAGTTAAGCAGTCCTATTGTACAACTTTACATTTTAAAGAACTAATGACAAATTTTTGAATTCCTACTTCAATTTAAAAAAAAAAAATTTGTAGTCGGACAGAATGCCTTTATTTGCTTATTTTTATGTGGTGTTGAGGATGGAACCCAGTGCCTTACACATGCTAGGCAAGCGCTCTGCTGCTGAGCTATAGCCCCAGCCCTTTCAATATTATTTTTAAGCTACAACATTTCCTATTTGACACCCTGACAGATTTTGCTTAACATTTTTAATTAAAAGAGCAAGTGTGCTCAAAAAATTTTTGAAAAAAATCAAAAAATATAAAAAATGAAAAGTACCTATAATCCTCAAACTATAGATAACCGTCATTAATAATCTGTTTCATTTTCTTATAAATGAACAAACAGAAATGAACTTTTAAACAGGTATCTTTAATAAAGTATAAATTATTTAAAATTACTTACATAAAATTCACCTACTGAAATGTACTGTTTGCTGTTATCAGCAAATTTATTGAGGTATGCAAATACCATCATAATCCAGCTATAAACAAATCTATCACCTGTAAGAGCTTTACTACTGCACTTGCTGTCTGTGTCCCTGTGCTTGGCCTAGCTAGCCCTGAGTTTTTTCTAAAAATTTCATTTGTTTTGTCCAGCTTCTTCCAATTAAAATAATGTTTTCCTATTCATTCATGTTGTCTCACCTCTCAGTTTATTCTTTTTTATTGCCGTTAATATTCCATTGTATGGATATATCACATTTTGTTCATGCATTTACCACCTTTTGAATGTGTGCATTGTTTGCAGGTTTTGACCACTGGAACGATGTTGCCATGAATGTTCACATGAGTCTGGGTAAATACAAGGCTTTTTCCTCACATCCAAAGCAGCACTACTGCAGCACACAGTAAAATGTTTACCTTCACAAGAAAATGGTAAACTGCTTTCCACAGTGGTCTTGGGAGAAGGGTGTTATGAAAAAATAAGCCTGGCCCCTTCTCAGGCTACTCTGGCCTCCTGTCTTGCCATAGCACCCCCTCCCCCAGATCTCTCTGTTTTTATGTGGTACCAAGGATGGAACCCACTGCCTCACAGGTGAGAGGCGGGTGCTCTACACTGAGCTACAGCCCCAGCCCTCATCTCTCCCTTTTGAATGCACTATTAACATACCATCTGCCATCTGCCATAATGCAACACAGCCAAGAGAGCCCCAGGGCATCAGAGCCAGCATTTTGCTCTTTGGGCTCTCTGACCTCCGAAAATGTGAGCTAAATGAACTTCTCTACAAAGTACCTAGCCTTAGGTATACTGTTATACTAATGGAAAAAGGTCTAACACACTCACCATTCTAGAATCATCTGTGGAGAAAACTATTTCTCTCTCCCAATGAATTATGTTGGCAACTTTGTACATAATCAATTGACCACATGGATTTATTTTTGTTCTGTGAATCTATATGTCCATGATTATATCAATATACTGCCTTAACTACTGTTGCTTTATTATTTTATGCAGTTGCACTTTGTTTTATTGTGCTTCATTTAATTGTGCTTCTCAGCCACTTTGTGCATGTGTGTGTGTGTTGTGTGTCTGTGTGCACGTGCACATGATTTAACCAACTGAAGGTCTGAGGCAACCTGTGTCAAGCAAGTTTATTGGCACAACTATTCCATAGCATGTGCTCACTGTATGTCTGTCACATTTTGGTAATTTTCTTAATATTCCAAACTTTTTCATTATGAATATATCTGTTAAAATGATCTGTGATCTTTGTTTTGAGGCACCATGAACTGTGCCCCTGTATGAGGATGAACTTAACTGATACCTGCAATGTGTCCCTGTGCTCTGCTGATACTTGTTCCCAGTCTTTCTCCCTTCCCTCAGGCCTTTGAGACAGATGATACTGAAATTAGGTCACTTACCCTAAAACAGCTTCTAAGTGTTCAAAGGAAGGAACATATCATCCATCAGTTTAAATTGCTAGAAATATTTAAGCTAAAAAAGTTAAGCATGTGAAATGCTGAGACAGGCTGAAAGCTAGGCCTTTTGCACTCATCAGTGAGCTCTGTTGTGAATGCAAAGTAAAAGTCCATGTAGGACTACTCTAGTGAGCACATGCATGAAAAGAAAGCTAAACAACCCTACTGCTGATGATGGAGAAAGGTTTAGTGGTTTGGAGAGATGATTAAACTGTCCATGCCATTTCCTTAAGCCAAAGCTCAAACCAGAGCAAGGCCCTAATTACAAAGGTCGAGAGGTGAGGAAACTGCAGCAGGAAAGTCAGAAGCCAAATCCATAACAAAAAATTGCTAGGCGAAGTCCCAGGTGCTGATAAAGCAGCTGCAACAAAGACCTAGCCATGATAACTGATGGTGACTAGACAGTTTCCATGTAGATGAAATAGCCTTAAAGAAGGAGATGGCACTTAGGCTTTAAGAAGAGTCGATGCCTGGCTTCAAAGGACAGACTGATTCTTGTCAGGGGCTAACACAGCTACTGACTTCAAGTTGAAGGCTTATTTATCCCTCTGACAATGTGACAGTAGTTAAGAATTATAATGAATCTAATCTGCTTGTCATTTACAATTTGACAATAAAGCCTGGATGAGAGCACACCTGTTTACAAATGGTTTGCTAAAGGCTATAAACCACTCCTTAAGACCTACTACTCAGGAAAAAAGATTCTGTCCAAAATCTCACTGTTCATTGTCAACGCACCTGGTTACCCAAGAGCTCTGCAACAACACTGGCAAGGCTTTCTTTCACTTTTGCTAACATGATGCCCTTCTGCAGCCCATGAGTCAAGGAGTAATTTTGACTTTCAAGTCTTATCATTAAGAAACACTTTCATTAATGCTACATAGCTACCATAGAAGTTGATTCCTCTGATTGATCTGGGCAAAGTAAATTAAAAACCTTTTGGAAGGGAATCACTGTTCTAGATGCCATAGAGAACATTTGTGATCCATGGGACATAGTCACTATTTCAACAGCAGGAGGTTGAAAAAGTTGATTGATTTCAACCCCCATGGAGGATTTTGAGGTGTTTAAGACTTCAGTGAACAATATGGTAGAAATACCAAGAAAACTAGAATTAGAAGCCTGAAGATATGATTGAATTGCTGCACTCTCATGGTAAAACTAATAGATGGGGAATTGCTCAAATGGACGGGCAGAAACAGTGTTTCTTGAGATGGAATCTATTCCAGGCAAACAGGCAGTGAACATTGTTGAAACAACAAAGGATTTTGAATTTTAAATTGACTTATTTGATAAAGCACTAGCAAGTTTTCAGAGGACTGATTCTAATTTTGGAGAAAGTTCTACTGTGAGTAAAGAGCTATCCATTGCCACTGTATGCTACAGAGAAATCTTTTATGAAAGGAAGAGTCACTTGATGTGGCAAACATCACTGTTGTTTTATTTTAAGTTCCAGATACCCCAACCTTCAGCAACCACCACCCTCATCAGCTGGCCATCATCAACATGGAAGCAAGACCTTCCAACAAACAGCAAAGATATTATGACTTATCAAAGGCTCAGATGACTATTGGCACTTTATCAATAAAAGATTTTTAAATAAGTACATTTTTAAGACAATGTTATTTCACTTTTAATAGACAATAAATTTAAATTTTGTATGGCCTGAGAAGTAAAAAATTTTCTGAGACTTGCTTTATTCTCATGGTTTTAGAAATAAACCCATGGTTTCCTCAAGTTATGCTTGTAGTTAAGTTTTGAAACCAGATAGGATAAGTTTTCCAAATTTGTTCTTTTTTCAAAATTGTTTTGGCTTCTCTGTGTCATTTTAACTTCCATATCAATTTTACCATTGGTTCATCAATGTCTACACAAAAGTCTGCTGGGATTTTGATTTTGCATTGTAGCTACAGACTAATTTAAACAGAAGTGAAATCCTTTTCCAATCCATGAATATTGGCTACATTTCCCTATTTACTTAGGTCTCCTTTAGTTTCTCTCAGCAATGTTTTATCATTTCCAGTTTATAGGTCTTATACTTCTTTTGTTGAATCTATTCCTCCCTGTGTCTATATTTGAGGCTGTGTGGATGAAACTCTTTTTTTTCTGGGCTATAGATACACTATTTTTATATATTGTTCTTATACTGTGATCTTGCTAAATTCACATATCATGTAGTTTTTGTGTTTCTTGGCAATCACAATTACTTTTTTTTCCCTTTATATCTGTAGTAATTATTCTTTCATTCCAAAGGATTTTTTAACCTACAAAATGACATCATCAGCTAGGAAGAAGGCAACATTTTCTCCATCCCCTTTTTCACCTTTTTCTTGCCTTGCTGTCCTTGGCTGTGATGAACAGAACTCGTAAGTGGCGAGAACTCTTGCCTTCTTTCCCAATCTTGGGTTGGGGAGGGGATATTCAGGCTTCTAATATTAAGTATAATGTCAATGAAAGAGTCTTCATTGATGCCCTTTATGAAATTGCGTAAGTCCATTTCTAGGCTTATTTGTCCTGCATATTGATTGTGAATGGGTGTTGGGCTCTGTTAGATATATTTTTGTATGTACTTTAAGATAATTATGTGAGTTTTGAACTTGAATTTATTATATGAATAATACATGACATCAAATAATTTTCTGATGTCAAATCAACCTTGCATTTCTAGTATAAAACTCCTTAGACATAGTCATTTTTGTATTTGTATACTTTCAATTTGGTTTGTCAATGTCTTGGTAAACATTTTTACATTTGTGTTCATGAAATGATACTGGTCTGTAGTTCTTATTTCTTGTGTTTTTGTCCAGTTTTGGTGTCACAGAAATACTGGCCTTGAGAAATGAGCGGAGGAGTGTTATCTCCCTAGTTTCTGAAAGAGATTTTGAAGGATTTGTATTGTACTTTATGTCTGGTAGAATTTGCCAGTAAAGCCATATATGTGCCTGAGATTTTCTTTGGGAAAAGAATAGTGCAACTTCTCAATTAGGTTCTATTTAATTCTGTATAATTTTTTTTAAAATTTATACTTTTCTAGAAAGTGTGTCCATTTCATTTAACTTTCCAATTTGTTGGTAAAAATTTGCAATCACAATTATTTTAATTTTGTGAGATCTGTAATAACCCTTCCTTCATTACAGATTTTCATAATTTGTGTTAGTCCTTATTTTTTTCTTGTTTGTTTAAAGGGTTATCAAATTTGCTTACTTTTAAAAATGAATCATCTTTTGCTTTCATTGATATTTTTTCTATTTTAAATTTCATTAATTTACCTTCTGATCTATATTATTTCCTGCCTTCTATTACTTTCATTTTGGTTGCTCCTCTTTGATTTTTTTAGCTTAAGGTGGGGAGTGCAAATAACTCATTTTAGGATTCTTTTCTCATAAGCATTTAAAGCTTTTAGTCATATACCCTAAATTTTAATATGTAGTATTTCATTTTCACTCAGTTCAAAATATTTAGTAATTTTCTATGAGTCACAAATAATTTAGATGCTAATTTCCAAGTATATGGCAATTTCCCAGATTTCATTCTGTTAATTTCTACTTTAATTCCATCATGGTTAGAACATTCTTTGTACGATTTTAATTTTGTTACTATTTTTAAGTTTCTTTGCTTTCATTGTGAAATCTGTCTTCACCATTGTGTACAGCTGCTGTAGTCTCTTCATAGATATTTACTCTTATTTTTATGTTTTAGCCTAGCCTCCTAGTGGTTGCTTTCTGTCTGTCTGTGTACCTTAGTAATAAGCAAATGATTCTAGCCAAGGCTGTACTCAAACACACTAAGCCTCTAAGGCTTCCCTCTTATTCTGATCAATTGATATGTGGCAGGGAGTATATCTAATGTTTAACCAGTTCTCAAGTATCGCTTGGTTTTCATTATTTGCTGGGTTCTCTTGACTCTCCCATGTACGTGGAGGCAGTTTTTCAGTTCAAAGAACATGGAAAATGTTTCTCTCCCTCTTCTCCAAAATCCTCAGGAGTAAGTTTCTAGTTGCTAGTTGGTCTAGCACTTGCATTCACTCAGGACTGTAGCCTCTGGCCAGCAAAGTGTCAGTCTTCCCTATTCATTTCCTTCCAAGTTTGGCACCTGAAGCTGACAAAACCACAAGTGTTCATCCCAAGTTTCATTCTGGTAAAACCACAGTTCTTGCCACTCAAACTAGAGAGGAACAAGAGGATGAGAACCACCCCAGGCAAGGAGGCAAAAATCTTGTTACTTTCACCCAAAGTCCTAGCAGCTTTTCAATGTTTGTTTGTTTTTTCTTTTTTTTATAGAGAGAGAGAGAGAGAGAGAGAGAGAGAGAGAGAGAGAGAGAGAGAGAATTTTTTAATGTTTATTTTTCAGTTTTTCGTTGGACACAACATCTTTATTTTATTTTATATGGTGCTGAGGATCGAACCCAGCGCCCCATGCATGCCAGGTGAGTGCGTTACTGCTGGAGCCACATCCCCAGCCCCTTGTTTG